TACATTTAAGTGACCCCATTATCCTGGGCATGCTGTTACAAGAGGGACTTGAGTGCCATGCTATTTCCTCATAACAGGTGAATGCCTTTTGACATTCACAATCTCTCCCTCTCCCACCACCAGCACACAGTTAATTTAGAAATACGCAGTTTGGGAAGAATTTGTAGTGTACATAGAGTATTTATTTAGGATTAAAAAAACAAACCAAACTCACTGCCACTGAGTTGATTCTGACTCTTAGTGACCCCCGTTAGGTTTCTAAGGCTGTAAATCTTTACAGAAGTAGATTGCCTCATCTCTCTTCTGTGGAGCAACTGGTGGGTTCAAAACACCAACCTTTTGGTTTGCAGCCAAATGCTTTAACCACTACATCACCAGAGCTTCCTGCTTATTAGGATAATTTAAAAAATGTTAAACTCAAAATACTTACATGTGTGACATAAAGCCTAATGGTATACTTTCAACTTCTTCACATTTCCTTTGAAGAAAAAAATAAGTTTGTTTGGAGAAAATGTGGAAGTATCATTTGCTTTAAACATCTTACTGTTGATACCTGGATCTTACATTTAATTTATAATTCTTTTTTGTTTGCTCTTAAAGTTCAACTTTAGATCTATATGCTCTATGTGTATGATTGTCGGAAAGTCATCCACATGGGAGCTTACGTGATATTTAAGGTCGATTATACTTTGCATAGTCTGGTGGCATGATCTGGAGCTCTGGTGGCATAGTGGTTAAGGCATTTGGCTGCTAACCATAAAGGCAGCTGTTCGAACCCACCAGGTGCTCTGTGGGAGAAAGATGAGGCAGTGTGCTTCTGTAAAGATTACAGCTTTGGAAACCCTGTGGGGCGATTCTGCTCTATCCTAAAGGCTCACTATGAGTTGGAATAGAGTTGATGACAGTGAGTTGGGTTGGGTTTTTTGTAGTTTGTATACAAAGAAGTAGGAGATCTGGTAGTGTAGTACCTAAGGCACTTGACTGCTAACCAGAAGGCTGGAGGTTCAAACCCACCAGCCCTCCTCAGAAGGAAGGTTGGGCAATCTACTTCCATAGTGATACAGCCTCGGAAACCCAAGGAGGGGTAGCTATGAGTCAGGTCTGACTGCACGGCACATAACAACAACAACAACAATACTAAGAAGTGAGTGACTCATCTCTCTTTTTCCTATCAGGTTAGCGATGCAACTAAGCTAAGGCCAAAGGCAGAGTTCTGTTTTGGTAAGTAACCATGATTTACATGTTTGTGCCATAATTGTAAGTCAGACTGGCATTCTTACGTAGTCTTGGGTGCTGTTGTGGCTCTTTGTGTCCAGGAATTTATTTGTATCCGATACTGTTTTACCACTACTTGGCCTCTGAATTTCATTTACTTTATAACTCCCATCTATGGGCATAGGGTGAGAACTTAATAAATGTTAATCTTCTTGGTGGTTTTGACTGAATTTAAGGGAAAACTAACAGATATGCCACATGTTTCCATGAAGCCCCACTACTTGTTTCTGACCCTGAATTAGTGCAGCTCTGCTGTCTGAGACACTGGGATTCCTTTGCTGTGTTTTCTTGCCTTGTTTTAAGATTTGATTTAAAGCTACTGGTGACTAGTGAATAAATCCAGTTAGAAATACTTTCCCTTGGGTTAACTTGCTATGATAAAAGACAAGGTAAATTTTTATAATAAATATCTATACTTACTATTTTTGGTATGGATTAGAATAATCTGTGATTTTATTTATTTATTTGTTGGAGCCTGTGTCTTTTATTCATGCCCCCCACAAAGTACAGTCAGAGACAAGCTACAAAATCAGGGGCTGGGAACTCTGGTTACATCCTCCAAGTCCCCTGCCCCAGACAGGTGCAGTGGATAAGGTGCTGGTGTGACAGACCCTCTGGGGAAGGCCAGAGGGAGTAAGAATCCCACTCTTGAGGCAACAGGACTTTGAAAGGGCAGGGCACAGGCCTTGGTTCCCACAGGGCTGGGAGGAAGGCTTACCACCACCACTGGGGCTCAGGAAGCTCAATGCAGTCCTGGGCTGGAGGGAATTGAAAAAAGGTACCTTTAGCAAGGGTCATGATGGCGGGGCTGGAAGGGGTATAATGTCTACACTCTTATGGAGGTGGGGGACAGGTAGATAGGCTTTTGGGATCTCAGAATGGCACAGCCGTCCCGACAGTTATTCTTGTGGACCTGGAGGCCTGTGTGAGTGGCCATCTCAGATACCTCCCGAGCACTCGAGGTAGCCAAAGGCACTGATCTGATTTGCCATATCTCGGCCTTCCTCAGACCTAACGGGCTCCTGTTTCATTTTGGCCAGCTCTCCCTTGGTGTGCTCATCTTGCCTCAGGTCCTGCTTATTCCCCACTAGGATGATGAGCACGTTGGGGCAGAAGTGCTTCACTTCTGGGTCCACTTCTCAAGAATGTTTTCCAGGCTGTCAGGGTGTCAGTGGTGAAGCACATGAGAATGACATCAGTATCTGGGTGGGGAAGAGGCTGTAGGCGGTCATAGTCTTCCTGCCCAGCTGTGTCCCATAGAGCCAGCTCCCCCTGCTTGCCATCCATCTCAGTGTCTGCAATGTCGTTACAAAGACGGTAGGGATGTAGACCTCTGGGAACTGATCCTTGCAGAAGGTGATGAGGAGGCAGGTCTTCCCACGGGCACCATCACCTACAATCACCAGCTTCTTTTGGATTGCAGCCGTGGCTGGGGCTTCTGCACTGCTGCCTCTAGCTACGTGGCTGGTGCCCGAGGCTGAGACCCATCTCTGATAGTTTTTGTAGTTGTATCAAATGGTTTCCTTATTCCTCTTCCCACCCCCATCTCTGATGACCAAGAGTTCCTACTTCCAAGACAATTAAATACAGTATTTTTATATTATCTGTTTTCTCTTTCATGTTGTTTTTCCTTTTATTTGTTGAGGAAATTTGATAACTCCATCCATGAGGGCTTGGCTGATATGGTAACTATCGGGTACAATAATGGTGTGGAAATGGTGGTTAGTAGCACTTAATAGAATAGGTGACTTCTGGAAGTGAGCACTGTAAGCTACTATTCCCCAAGTACCTTCAGGGACCAGCTTCTGAGAACATGAGTGAAAAGGGAACAAATAAAAAAAGCATCAGATGCTACTGAAAAGTAGTCCTTCTAATAATATTCACTGTGCAGTCACCTAAATATTATGTGTAGTGATTATCATACAGTCTTGGATATGTGTCTTTTAAACAAATGTTAACAAACAAGCATTGTGTATGTATGGATCTGGTAAGACTGTGATTATAAGAAAATAGTGCTCCAAGCGTAATTATTTGTTCTCCCATAATGCATCCCAACTACTTGTCAGTCAGATTTCTACCAGAAGAAAGGTGTAAATAAAGAGGACCAGTGTGGCTCTCATAATGGTCATTTTTTAAAGGATTTTTGTGATGGAAGAGTAGAGTGAAGGGATAGCACTTGAGCCCCTTCCTTTCCCCTCGGCCTGAGTTTTCTTAGTAAGTCCTTTGTCACTAGAGTAATGTTCAAACGTGTTGACCTGCCACTTGAGTGTCATGATTGCCGGGATGGGGGCGGTTGTTCAAGCTTAAGGTGAGTGGTTGCAGTGGAGAAGTCTTAAGGTCCCTTCTAACTATGATTATCTTCATATGTTATCAGTTAAACCTCATATTTTCCATTTCCAGCAAGAGTTTAGAAATTAAAGTCTACTTCTTAGATTATTTTAGAGGAGATTCTTTTTCCTCCTATGAGATTGTGTATCACTTTGTTCAAAATTAATGAAGTATGTCATTAAGATAGTGAGTTTAGCCATTTAAGTATTCTGTTGAGTGTTTACAGATAATTAAAAAAAAAAAAAATGACTCAAGAAGTTGAAGAGTTGAAATGTTACCTTGAAATGATTTAACTAGTTTTCCTAGGTGTTCTTGAGCCAGCCTGTGTCATACTGCATGGTACAGAGATGTACACATGGAAGAATCAGAATTTTCGAGTTGGGAAATGGAGGAGATATATAGACTAATACAAGGGAAATGTGTAGGCTGGAGCCAGATTTTGAAAGCCCTGAAATTTATTAACTGGTCAGATGTTTACTGAGTAACCTCTGTATAGCAGGCCGTGTAGCGATTCAGGCTACAGAGATGATTGTCTCTGTCTTTAGGGTGCTTGCAGTATAGTCAGATTAGTGAGCAGAAGGTCCCAGTGCAGTAGGATAAGCCCCATGTTAGAATACTGGCTGGGTACCTATGGGAAAGTGGGGGCAAAGTATAGAGATCAGACTGGGGACATCCTTCCCAAAAGAGTCTTTGGCCAGGCTGCCAAAGACTTGAGTCCCAGTAAGGAGAGCAGTCTGAAAGGGAAAGCTTCTTAATATCAGTGGTAATGATTTCTGGGAGCAGGGATTTCATGTAATTCAAAGATACATATTTTTTATTGTAAATGAAACAGAAAACTACACAGAACAACATATAGTTTAATGAATTATTCTAGGCATATGGTCTTGTAACTGTCATTCAGGTAAGAAAGTAAAACTTTGCCCCCTTGCCAAATTTCCTTCCTGTGTCCCATCCCAGTCAAAACTTCCTCCCTCCTTTTATAGCCGTTGTCTTGGCATTTATAATGGTCACTTCCTGCAAGGTTTCGGGTAATTTTTAATCTTTTCCCTTGTATTGTTGTTACGTGCTGTTGAGTTGGACCCGACTCATAGCAACCCCTCCTTGGGTTTCCGAGGTGGTATCACTATGGAAATAGATTGCCCAACCTTCCTTCTGAGGAGTGGCTGGTAGGTTTGAACCGCCAGCCTCCTGGTTAGCAGTCAAGTGCCTTAAGGCACTACGCCACCAGAGCTCCTCTCCCTTGTATTTGTCTATATATAAATACAACATCCATTCAGGCAACGTCCGACCACGTATATGTCTGTGGTCCCAGAAGGTTGTAATAGAGACCAGATCTGATCAGGGAATGGGATGGAGCAGATGCAGCAGCTTCCTGCACACACACATGTATCTCATGTCTCTTGTGTACAGTGTGATGATGTGCTGCCTGGCATATTATGGAATGGTACATGTATGACCTGTGATATGTATGTCTTCATAGTCGTAATAAATGCATTTGTACTGGCGTGTGTGTGTATTCTACTTTCTACCTAAAAAGTTTATAACAGTGAATGCTTCGACTCGTAGGCAGCAGCATCAAATTTTGTGTGTCACACATCACTTCAGGGTTCTAGTGTTACCTCTGTTTCATTTTCTTTTGAAAATATCACTGTGAAGTGCATCATGGCTCCCAAATGCAGCAAAACTAGTGCTAGTGATAGCAGCAGTAACAGGCAAAAGAGAAAGATCAATTTGGAAGTGAAACAAAGGTTATTAAACAACATCAAGATCGAAAATCAGTGAATGCTGTTGCTCATGATGTAGGTGTGTGACACTTGAGAATCATGACATTCCTCAAAAACAGAAGTTGTCCAAGCTGTTAAAGGACCAGCTCCACTGAAAGCGTCAAGGCTGATAAAAACGCAAGAGGGACTTGTATCAGATACGGAGAGCTGCTTACGATATGGATTGAGGACCAAACGTGAGAGAGAATCCCTCTCAGCACATTGACAGTCACTGCTAAGGCACAAAGCTTGTTCAGGATGCTTAAAAAGTGGGACCGGACTATGAGATGGTGTTCACACAGTGTTCAAATCACATCGTGTCCTGTTTCACAGAATGTATTGTGGATGTTAAGCAATGCAGATAAAGGGTTTGGTCTTCGTTTTATGGATAATGAGAAATGTACAGTTTGTAGGCACAGGTAATTGAGGGTATCAGATTAACTTGTTCAACAAACATTTAGTGAATGCCTGCAAATAGGCTAGCTGCTGTTCTTGAACTGGGGTTGTTGAGATTAAAGGAAACAGTAGCTGCCCTTACAGATTTCACAGGCTTGTTAGAGACAGTACAATACCAGATAATTTTGATTGTGTTTATCCCAGTCTGTTATAAAGGGGTATACAGTGTGTTAGAAGCATAAAGGAGGAGTTTCAAGTCCTCATTAGGGGTCTTGGGAATCAGTGGAGCCACAGAGAAAGAGAGACTTGACCTGGTGGTCAGCTAACTCCTATGTCGTCCTTTACCAGTGGGGAGAGAAGGCCAGCAGTACATGGACAGAGGCACGTGGGGAGAGGAGGGTGGCGTGCACAGGGAATGGAGCCGTCAGTGAAGCTGGAGTGGGTGGTGGTAATAGGCTAGAAATTAGCAAAAAGACCAGTAGAGATCAGCTTGTAATGTGTTGACAAGTGGTGTGTATCTTGCAAAGGGGAGGCAAGCATGTAGAGGGTGGACATATGGTGAAGGAAGGTGTTTTTTTTTTAGAATAGGAGAGTCTTGATGCAGGTAGAATAGGTAAGTGGCTTTTATACTACAGTCCTTAGAGTGGTGGTAGTTGGGAAAGAAGGAAAATGAAACATGTTAGAAGAAACACTGAGGGATTTTGTGGGCTGTGTGGGCATTGGAGGGAAAAGAGAAGCATCAGATGTAAGTTTGCTCCATCTAAACACGTGAGGAAATCAGGAGAGCCAGTTAGATAGGGTAAAATGCTTGACTTTAGATGTGTGGAGTTTGAAATCATGGCCAGACTTCCAAATAGAAGTGTTCTGGTGAACTGACCGTAATTGAAGACTGGGTGGAGCTTGAAGATAAGGATGGGAACGTTGGAATCTGTTCAAATCACGGGGGATAATTGTAACTGGGAGGATTGGTGTGCTTTCAGAGAGTGGTAGTGGACATTAGTGATGGAAGGGACAAAAACCAGGAGGAGTGGCCAACTGATATCAAAAGAGACTATTTATGTGAAAGTAAAAAAAAAAAAAGAAGCCTTTTGGGGTAGAACTGATGTTCAGGTTCTTCACGCTCTTGCTTGAAAGGGCAGATTTCTTCCATAGGCGTGTGTGAAAGACACCATCTGATAGTAGTCATGTATCCAGTAAGAAGACGTGACACACGTGGGATGAAACATAGTTACTCAGGAAAATCTCTGTCATTATTTAACTACCAATAAGAAATTAAAAGAAAGTTACGTGTTTATTATAAATTATATTTTTGGTTATTACATAGAAAAATGTCACAATCTTGTGAGTGGAATGCTGCTGGGGGCAAGTCAGGTAACAGAGCTTTGCATCATAGAATGTATAACACTCATAAACAAACCAACCAAAAAACCAAAAAAACCCCACCACCACCATAGAGTCAGTTCAAACTCACAGTGACCCCCATAGCTATAAATCTTTATGGAAGTAGATTGCCCCATCTTCCTCCCACAGAGAAGCTGGTGGGTTTGAGCTGCTGACCTTCTGGTTAGCAGCCTTACCTACTGTGCCACCAGAGTGCCTTATAACTGCTTTTGAGAAATCTGTTAAATGTGAAATCTCAAATTTCCTGGTTCAAGGAATAGTAATAAACAGAGTCATAGATTCGATGTTCAGAATGAATGGGATGTTTAGAATGGATGAAGTTAGTTGGAGTCAGAGATAAAGATTAATCATTTATTGGTCTGCTAGTAGTGTGTTAGTCCTCTACTACTAGTGGTGGTGGAGAGAAGTTTGCTAAATTTCTGCCTTCAGAGAGAGAGGCACTGGTTTCTGCACTGGTACCACAGCTAGTAAAAATGGCAGCGTGAAGACTTCCTCTCCCATCTCTACTCAAATTGCCTCAAATCAGTAGGAACAAGAATATGTGGACCATCTTTGTTGACAGTGGCAGATAGCCATAACCCCGAACTGCGGCACATGAAGGTAAAGGTAGGTGGAGGAATGGCAGATAATGTAAGTCACGTGATGACCATGGAGAGGCTTAGCAGCTGGAGATACAGTTGCTGGAGAAGCAACAGTGGGGAGAGACCGAAAACAGGGACTTTGAATGTCTACATCAGGAAAAACTTCTAGTCCCCACCTCCATCTGGCTCTGTCAGGCAGCTGCCCTTCCCCCATCCCAACAGGAAATGGGAGGTAGAGGAGCTCCAGAAATAGAATCAGCGATGATCTCTACTTGGGTACACTAGTCCCAGAGAAGGGAAGGGATGAGGCATGAAACTGAAAATAGGAGGACTGGATGAAAGTCTGCATGTTGAACGCAGCCCTGCTTCTGCCTCGCCCCAGCCCACTGGGTGGCAGGTTCAGGCGGGAGATTGTGGGTCGTGGAGAATGTGAATTATTGCTGACATACCCCTTTTCAGTAATTTGCTTTACGTTTTTTACAATATTTCCTTCCTTCTTGGAGACCTCCAGACGATAATGGTGAATATTTGTTCTGTGCCGAGCAGTGTGCTAGTTTCATCATCTCTATCCTTCAAAGAAAGAGTGAGTGGCATTCCCATATCACAGATGAAGAAAATGGGGCCCAGAGAGATTAAATCATTTTTATAAGATGGTGTTGCTAGTGAGTGCATGAGCTAGGAGGCCTGAGTAACTCTAGGCTCTCGTCTTTTTTCCACATCATATCACATGAAATAGTTCCTGAAACAATAGGAGTTTTTATACACACTGCAGGGTATGCTAAGAGTCTTTTTAGTATATATGCCTCTGTTCCCTTCCTTAAAAGAGGTCCTCACATAAATATTATTCATTAAAAAATATGTGCATTGAACATTTACTTTGTACTAGGTGTTGTGTGTTAATAAGTGCTTATGTTTTCAAAAACTCTCATATGTTCTAGCCAGATGCCCAAAAAAGGTGGAAAGAAGATGCCAATTTGAGAAGCTTTCAGCTTCAGCCTCAGCTGGAGGAAGATTATAAAGGGATATTTACTGATTGTTAGAAATTAAAACAAAAGTTATTTATTCACATGCGTAATGTCTTAGTGGTTTATTGATTTATGTTAATTTGTATTTTATGGCATTTATCATTTCTCCAAAGGCCTTAAATGTTTGAAAATTTTAAATATAAAGAAATTTTATAACGCTAGAAAGGTAGGGGTGTTTATTTTTATACTCTTGAGTGAGATTTTCTAAATATGATATGAAGTATGGAGGCACTAAAGAAAAAGATCAATAGAATATTTCTTTTTGATCAAAGATACTATGAACAAAGTAGAAAGATAAATGACAAGACAGGAAAATGCTTGTAATGAGACAGAAAGGATTAATATAAAACTGTAAATCAATAAAAAATGAACAATTCAGGAGAAAGTTGGGTGAGAAAAATAAAGTTCACAAAAGAAATACAGATGGCCAATAAATATACAAAACTAAATTCTCAGTAATAAAATTCCAATTTAAAGAAGAACTAATTATTTACCAGTTAGGTTGCAGAGAGTACTGCATCAGTCATGGTTGAGTCAGGAAAGCACACCTCACTAAGCCCATCAGACACAGGATTTATTGCAGGGGATTGTTGAACCATGTGTGGGAAGACTGGAAGTACACAGAGGGAATGCTGAAGTGACCCGGAAATTGGAATAGAAACTGCGTGAAGCAGCTACCACCCTAGGGCTCCAGGCACAGAGAAGGAGGTGGTACTCCCAGAACCTGGGATTTCGGAGACACCATTGTGGCACGATGGATTAGCGTCTAAGGGGAGTCTGCAGGGCATCAGAAGACCCTGCAGCAGTAGGTCGCTGCGTGCTGCTGCTGGAGAGAGGCCAAGAAGAGCAGAAATCCAGAAGAGAATTCCCCTGCCCTCCCACCTCCCACCTTCCAGTCTCCTGTCAGTGCTTCCCATTGGCAGAGTGTCACTAAAGCTGACAGATGGGGAGAACATTGTGTGCATTCCCAGCCCCAGTGCCAGAGGCTTGGGGATGGGAACAGTGGATCCAGAACCAGTGTGAGCGCCAGTAACTGGAACTGGTGAGCAGAACTCGCTGAGACAGGCGTGTTCACACACTGTCGGTAGGAACGTAAGGAGTTCAGCCTTTTGGAAAGGCGGTATGCTAGTATCTATAACAATTTTAAATGTGAATTCCTTTCGACTCAAGTATATGTCAGATTTATCCTAGAGAAATACTAGGCCAAATACGGAGAAATATGTGTATATGATGTTACATTGTGACATTTATGTAATTTCAAAAATTGAAAATGGTCTAAATGCCTGTCATTAGGAGATTGGCTAAATATATTGCAGTGTATCCATTTAATGAAAAACTATGTAGCCATTAAAAATGAAAGGTTTATCAAATTACCAGGTGAAGAAAGCAGTATTACCGTATGATCTAACATTTCATCAAATCCAAGAGAGTCACAATACTGAAATAGCTGTCATGAATGTACATTTAAAGGTAACAAGTACAAAATTTCATCTGTTGTAGTTTAATTTTTTCTCTCAACAGTTATGAATGCAGGGATGAGGAAATACTTCCTACAAGCCAATGATCAGCAGGACCTAGTAGAATGGGTAAATGTGTTGAACAAAGCTATAAAAATTACAGTAAGTATTTTTAGTTTTTTGAAAATTTCTAATGTCTGGAAGTAATTGTTAACGTTTTGAAAATAACATCTACCTAATGACCCCACCTTACCAAAGGGCTGCATGCTCAGAGTTTGTTTAAAAGACAGGTGCTTAGAAATGTGAATACAGTTTCTTGTCATGGTGACTCTTGGCCCTTAAGTCAACCCATGAGTACTTTAGCCCATCATGTACCTTGGTAGTGATAGGTAGCACCACAGCAGCTGACCAGTGCTAGCAGTGCTGTTTCTTGGGGAAAGTGCACTCTTAGAATTGTACTTCGAGGGTGTGTTTTTTTTTTTTTTTTGAGCATTGTAGGAGAGGCTGCCTGCCACCTCCCAGCCAGTGGGAGTGGCAGTCCTGTCTTGTAGGCCAGACCTGGGACTGGTGTCAGAGAGGCAGGAGTTGAAGGCAGGAGCGGGACAAGGGGAGGGAAAGGTTAGAAATGCAGTACCGGGGTGGGGATTGCATCTGAGGCCGGGCCCAGGGATTCCTGCCCACATGGTCTGCCCCTGCTGCTCTCATGCTCCTCCTGGAGTTCGGGGCCTTGGCACCTTGCTCTCCTGTCCCATGCTGCAACAGTCTGTCTCCAGCCAGGGCTTCTCTTCTGTTGGTTTTTTTTGATGAACATTATTAGTTGTTAACTATTTACAGTGTGCCAAACCTTGTATTCAAGGATTTATCTAAATTATCTGGAAAGGTGAAACTTAGAAAGATGAGCAACTCGCACAGATTTCTTGACTGCTAACTTGGGGAGTTGTGATCTGAACCCAGTCTGCTTGGGTCACGAACCTGCACTCTGAACCACAGTGCCTTACGGCCTCTGGAATAAGGAGGTCTTTCCTTGCTCTGGTTTCTCAGGCCAAAACCAAACTTGCTGGAGATTTTACTCCTGAGGTTGATGAGTAAGCAGAGCTGTCCCTCCCCTGATGATACCTTACCCGCCTCACGCCTCACGCCTCACGCCTCCCTCCTCCGACACTTCCAGAGAGACAGGCAGCAGGCCTGGGTGGAGAGGATGTAAATTGTGTGTCAACTGAAGCATGTTTTGACCGAAGTGCAGTTGTTTGCTGACCCCAAATGACTTATAAAGCAGATGCCCTAGTCTCTGTTACTTACTTGTTAGTTCCCGTCTAAAAGGGATGATGCCATATTTATATGACAACACAACGAAGAGTTAATGTAACTAAAGCTGTTCTCAGAGTTAAATTGAATTTCTTGTCTTGCAACAGAACAGCTTGTTACCACGTGATGGTACTCACCCACGCATGCCTCTGATCCGCCTGAAGCAGAAGTTATTTTAGGTTTGTGCAGTTTCAGGAAGGTAGTTTTTGAACTGATTCAGAAATATGTATTCTTAAAAGACTTTAACTGATGATTTTGAGCACTTTTAATAAACATTCCCTACTTGGAACACTACTTGAAGAAGACAGTTTCTAGTAACTTTGTTGAATTCTTTTGTTTTTTTCCTGATTTGCAGTAATAAGCCAGCGCCGGTTTCTTGGTGTGTTCAGAGGAAAAGGTGGGATTTTAGGCTTTTATACAACAACAACAACAACAACAACTGTTTTGGGGGATCTTGAATTGCCATGTCCAGTTTTTAATGGAATGAACGTCCTTACACAAATGCCTCTATAGAACTTGTTAGCATGAGAAAGGAAGCAGATGAGGGACTGAGTAATGTAAAGTATGGGGACTTGCAATTAGCTCTGAGGTCTTCCAGCTTTTTAGAAGTTCTTAAAGATAATTTGTTGATAAATGATTTTCATATTTTTGTAATTCAGCATTTAGGAAAATAAACACATATGTAGAAATCCTTAGTTTTTCAACAAAATGATTATAACTCTATAAAAGTGAATGTAGAATTGATAGGGTCACCATGAGTCAGACATGACTCATCTGCAGCTAACAACTGAAAGTCAATCTTCACCTACTGCTGTCAAGTCCATTATGACTCATAGTGGCCCTGGAGGGCAGAGGAGAACTGCCTCACAGGGTTTCCAAGGCTATCAGTTGTTACGGAAGCAAAGCCCAAATCAAACCCACTGCTAGCCCAAATCAAACCCACTGCTAGCCCAAATCAAACCCACTGCTCTCAAGTCGTTTCTGACTCACAGTGCCCCAGAGGGCAGAGTAGAACTGCCCCTCAGGATTTCCAAGGCTGTCTCTTTACAGAAGCATACAGCCTCATGTCTCTCCCATGGAGCAGCCAGTGGGTTTGAACCACTGACCTTTCAGTTAGCAGTTGAGTGCTAACCCACTCATGCTACCACGTCTTCTTAGAAATCAACTTTCAAACCAAACCCACTGCCATCAAGTCAATTCTGACTCATAGTGACCCCCATTGGGTTTCTGAGGTGGTATATCTTTGTGGAAGTAGATTGCCCAGTCTTCCTTCCATGGAGTGGCTGGTGGGTGTGAACCACTAACGTGGTTAGCAGTCAAATGCCTTAGGCACTGCACCACCAGAGCTCTTTAAAAACCAACTTTGAATAGATAGAAATTTAACTCATAGAGTAGTAATGAATTTCCTGTGCTTTAATAAGTATTTTACGTTTATTCTTTGAAACAATCTTACCCATTTTAATTTGACATGCACTTTAAACAAGTGTGTTAGATTATGGAGTTTCTAATATGTCATAATATTCCATAGAAATTGTTAATGATTCATATGTGGTTTCTTCGAAAAAATAAAGTTTACATCTTAATATACATGCAGTTTGTCTTCCTATAGAGTCACTGCAGATGGCATTTTAATTACAGACTCTGTAATTTGATCATTTGCTGAGTACTTACTATGAAGTACATAAAGCTAAAAATGTTGCAATTCTCAAATCTTGTTTTGAGATAGTGAGGATTGAGGGTATAGGTGGTGACAGGGAAGTGGGTGTTGAAGTAGGACCTGGGTGTCTCAGTACACTGCCCTCCCACCCCATGGTCTGTGGCTTTTTGTAGTTACTTCCCGGAGTCTATGGGAATGCAGATAGATGGTTTCCCCCTTATTTAAAAAAAGAAAGAGAGCAGTAGTAGTAGAAGAACCAGCATGGAGGGGGATGTCAGTGATTAGAGTTTGGAAAATCAAATTGTAAAGTGTGCTTTCAACTAACTTCGTTTTTATTAGTAACAATATAAAAATTGTGGTCTCTGGTCCCTTACTGATTTTTAAGGAATATAAGATGTATATGGTGAATTTCTAAACTGAAATATACTTTTACTTATTTTTTTTAATAATAACTGTTATTCACATAGATTATAATTGAAAAGTTATTATCAGTTTTACCAAAAATTTAGTCTTCTGAGGTAGTGGCATAAACCCCACAAATATGATGATTTTTTTTTTAATTGGCAAGTGCAGGAAGGGCAGGGAGGTAGCATCTTTTGACCTCCTCCAACCTCACAAGAGGGAGAGAGTATCACCACCAACAGCCCAAGGCTTATTCCTATGAGGCCAGACATGCCACCACCCTTCAGCGGTCAACTCTGACACCAACCATCCCTCCCATGGCACTCGCTACTTCTCTGCTGGGTTCGAGAATTCATTGCAGTGGCCATACAGAAATCACAGACTATGTTCACGATTATGGGGTTTATTAGGGAAATAACAGGCTACAACTCGGGTTCAGGAATGCTCTCAGAATACAACTCTTCAATCAGGAAAGTCTCCCCTCTGCTATGCCCTCAGGCTCACCTCTCTGGACCATGGCCTCTTGGCCTGGCCTGTGCCCTACTCAGGCAAGTGTGTTACAAAGCTTAATCAGCTCTGCCAGTAGATACATGTACGTGCACCCCACTCCACCAGCAACTCTCCTGCCCAAAGACACTCAGCTTTCTCACTCTGGGTCAGGTAAGCCCACTTCTCTGTCTCATGCCTCATGGTTCCAGTGCCGCCGTCTCTCAGCCAGGCATCTCTGTCAGGTATGTCTGCTGAGATCTAGTGTAGGGATCTCGGGTCTAAGAATGTGTTTCGTTCCACCTCCTCCGCTCCACCTCTGGCTCTTCTCTCTTGATGGCAGTGAGATTCCCCCTTTTCAACCTCTGAAATGGCTCACTTTAAGCCTAGTGGAATGGCTTAAAGTTTATATCTTAGTATACATGCAGTTTGTCTTCCTATAGAGTCACTGCATGTACCTTATTTACATTACTAACAAGCTCTCCAATCCCCTTGGTGTGCCACAGGCACCTCATAGTTGCACAGTTCCACCTAGTCGTCTGGTGGGAATTGCAAAGACCATGGCTAGAAGAGCCATACCAAGTAGTTCACTGTACCACAGCAAGCGGGGACAGTTAGAGCAAGCTAAATACAGGGCCTTAGTCTCACAAATGGCCCATGGGCAGAAAGTGTGAGGCCTTTTCTATTGAATGCTGCTGGTTTCCACCGGGCAGGTCACGCACAGCCCCCTCAGGAGTTTGTGGTTGAACACTGGAGGTGCCAGTCTTCAGCCCTGTCAGTATCCTCAATGAGCTGAACAGCCTTCCCTTTAACTCTTGAGAAACCAGCAGCATTTTCATTGATTTTCAATCATAAATGCTTAGATCTGTTTTGTTCTTCTCTTCTTTGTCTGGTCATTTTTACATTTTAGTTTTTCCTGCTCTTTCAGTAGGTGACACCCCAAGTAAGCATAAGCATATACCTGCCAAATGCACACTCAGGGTCACATAAAAAAGAATAGGAAGGAAGGGACAGTGAACGAAGATACGAGTCAGTAGGACCAGAGCCTGGGCAGTGTCGCTGGCACTTGTTATCTGTCTAGTGAGATCCTCTTCCTGATTCTCAGCTGCTGGCTAACGTCTTTTTCATCCTAAAATGAGTGATATTAATGGCTGAGTTTACACTAATTTTTAAGGGAACTATGTACATTCTTGGGCCTTTTCCTTGTTCTTAGGGAATAGGATGATTACAATTTAGATAGTTTTTATTATAAAATACAATTCTAAGTTAGGTGTTGGACCTTACCATTGGAATTATGCTATATTTAGCATTGATTTTATAATAAGGACAAATTAAAAGCATTAGGCTTAGTAATGTAGGCCAGGATTTTTACTACACTATCATTTCTGGAAGAAAAGTGGAAAAGCCAATGTAAATTTCAGTGTAGTTTTAGGGAGATGCCTGTATCTCCAGAAACACACACGTATGTCGTCCTTAGTTCAGAAGTATCCACATACCGTTACCCTCAATTGCTTGGAAGAGACTAGCTGGTGCTTTCCCTGTGAATGTTCTCTCAACAGCCCCTCATCTAATGCCGCTGAACAAATCATGTTTGCACCGCTTTTAAATTGTCATAAAGCTGTTTTCTGCATTTAGTGGGGTACTTGGCGATCTTTTCTGTCAAAAGAATTGGAAAACACGAGGCTATTTCATTGGAAAAGGAGCCCGGGGGATGCCATAGTTAACTGCTCAGCTGCTAACTAAAAGATCAGCAGTTCGAACCCACTAGTACCTCCATGGTAGAAAAAAACCCAAGGATCTGCTCTTGGAAAGATTACAGCCGAGGAAATCCTATGGGACAGTTCTACTCTGTCCTGTAAGGTCGCTATGGGTGGGAATTGGCTCCATAGTCCACAGCAGCATTCATTAGAAAATACTGTGGTCTTTTTTTCTCAGATTATTTCAGGATATGATATTCTCTGAAACCTTTTCATTCTTGTGTAATTAAGGAAATCTTGTCAAGTAAATGGGAGAAAGATGTGGCAGTTGGCTTTGTGAAGATTTTACAGCTTTGGAAACCCTATGGAGTGATTCCACCCAGTCCTATGGAGTCACTATGACTTGGAATCCATGGCAGTGGGTTTTTTAGTTTGCTAAGTAAAATTCTGTCCATTATTGTATTGCTTTTTAAAAGCATTCTACAATGTACAGCCTCCCAGAGAAAGCTTTTCGAACTCCAGACTTCTCTTTCAGATTACCTTTGTCTTTTCTTCCTCTCTGGTCTTGGTCTCTCTCTCTCTCTCTCGGGAGGAAGCTGGGTGAGGAGCATCTCTAGGGCTAGAAGGGTATGGAAGGAGAGGAGGAGGAGTTTTAGAAGTCACCCAAGAGAGAAGTCCTCTGTATCTGTAAATTAACGCATGTGGACTGGGGTCCACTCTAGGTTAGCATCTTCTCAGACGTTGTCCATTTGCGTGAAACTTTGCAAAAAGGTTTCAAAGCCTGGCCTGCAAACACCATTATAGACCTGCTTTTCTATGCCCCTGGTGCAAGTAGCATCAGACAAAGTTTTTAACAGTGTTCCTGGGTGGTGACTTTTTATACAAAAGCTTGAGAAACCACTGCTTTGGAATTATACACACAGTTGGGTTGGGTCTTTGAAGGGTCCCCTGTCATTGTGAGTGAACCCTGTTAGCAGGCAAGCAGTTTAAATTTAATGTTTTTATACCAGCATTTCTGTGCTTGTTAGAAGTGTTTGTCATAATCTTTCTGATAGACTACAAGGTCCCCAAATGTCCTTTAAATTACCATAGAGATTCAGTCATGTCCAACATTCTACTTGATTCTGAGCATGTTTATTCGGAGCCTTCAAAATTAATAATCAAAGCACAGATTATATGGTTAACCATCTGTAGACAAAGTTAATTAACCATGTATCTTATTCTCTAATTAACCCCATAAGAAAAGCTAAAATATGTTTAATATTTGTGACACCTCTGATTCTTTGATTTCACTTCAACGAGGAATTAATACATGAGAGTCTATTGCTGTCTACCATTATTTGTAAAAAAGGTCTGGTGCTGCAGTGGCTAAACCATTTGGCAGCTAACCACAGGGTCGGGTCAATGGTTTGAACCCACCAGCTGCTCCACGGGAGAAAAATGAGGCTTCCGTAAAGACTTAAAACCTTGGAAACCCTATGGGGCAGTTCTGCTCTGTCCTCTAGGGTCACTATGAGTTGGAATTGACTTGAGACATTGGGTTCTTTTGCATTATCATTCTTTATGTGTATAAACAAATCAGTTAAGACTGATTTAAGTATTAGCATTGCTCACTGCCACTGAGTTGATCACCACTCATAACCACCTCCATTGGGTTTCCAAAGCTGTAAATCTTTGTAAAAGCAGATTGTGTCAATTTTTTTTCCACGGAGCAGCTGGTGGGTTCGAACCACTGATCTTTTGGTTAGTAACCGAAGGCCTTACCCATTACACCACCAGAGCTCCCTAAGTATTAGCATTACTTCTTAAAATTCCTGGTAAGTATTAAGGGTTTTTGATTTACATCAAATATTTTGTTATCTTTTTTCCTAATATGCTTTTTCATTCATCCATTAAGTCAGTCTTTGGACATTTATTGAATACTTGGGCTGGGTAGTGCTCTCTGTCCTGGGACCATGATCCCTGTCCTCAGAGGAGCTTGCAGAATCCTGGGTAGGAGTGGAGGAAAGGACAAGCTTGCAAGTTAGACCAAGAGGTCTAATAGTGTGAAGTGCTGGACTAAACTGCAGAGTGAGTTTAGAAGAGAACTGCACAAACCTAGCTAGAAAGTGGTAAGGCCAAGACCTAAACCCACATTCCCTAATGCCTCTGAACCTGTCTCCTTACCTCTGAAGTGGGCATCCTACCCCTGTAACATAGGGTCTTTAAGAGAATTAAGTGAGAGAATGTGTGAACCTGCCTGAATGAGCATTCAGTGAAAGGATGACCATTTGATAGAAGTATTACTGTGAAGCAGAAGAGAGAGCATGAGAATTTCATGGAGTGCCTACACATGTGTGTGCCATTTAAATCGTTGTATATCGATTTGTTAGTCATATGTAAATGGACAATTAGTTGAAAATTGTGTGATAGTCATATATATATATATAAACGTATATATATATACACACACACACACACACACACAATATATAATCGCAGAATGATTTGACTTACTGTTTCAGGTACCAAAGCAATCTGACTCCCAGTCTCATTCTGATGTTCTGAGTCGCCAGGGTGATTATCCCTGTGCAAAGAAGCAAGTATCGTATAGAACTGACATTGTGGGTGGTGTCCCCATCATTACGCCAACTCAGGTAATAAATAAATTCTTTTGTGATGGCTTCATCACTATATGTTGGTTTTTATATTGTTCATAAAACCAAAGCAGTACATCATTACTGAATTAATACAATACTGAATAAATACCAAAAAAGCCTTACATTTGCTTATTTAAGAAGTACATGTTTATTGTATAAAATTTGGAAATCATAGGTAAACAACACTTAACACTTGTGTTTTCTCTTTTTTCCTAAATTTCCTCCCAGAAACAGAGATAAGAATTATAGATTAGATTTTGTAAACAGCTCTCTTGACTCACTGCAAACATTTTCCAACTCATCAAAAATTATTCTATATCATTTTTAATGGTTGCATAGTATTTCTTCTATGGATTTATCATAATTTGCAAGTCTCTGTTGTTGGACAAATGGTGTTCCTTTTCCTTTTATAAACAATGCTATGATGAACGTTCTTGTAATTAAAACTTTAGAAACATCGATAATAATTTCTTTAAGAATAAATTCCTAGAGTTTGCATATAAGTTTTTAAACCCATTTTTTTCAGCACCTAGCCTAGGTAAGTTAAACAGAACTAGAATTCTGACTTAATTCTATCCAGAAAGTACTGATAAGCTGAATTAAGTCTCATGAGCAGTGTAAATTTAAAAATAATTTTTTATTAAAATTTTTTTTTGTGAGCTTAACTATCTTATATAGATACTGAGGGTGTCAGTTTATAATGCAAATTAAATTATCGACAGTTGAGAAACGAAGAATTTAAAAATAATTAATTCCTACTGCCATTGCTGGCCATTTCCCTTACCTGTGTGCCTTTTGTACTTTTATAGACTTGGTACTTTATAAATCTTTTAAAGCAAAAATTTCAGGCCTTTTGCCAGAAGAGAGTGATACGCAGAAAGTAGACTTAACAGCTTTCATTGATTAATTCCATAAATGTTTATTGATCCCAGAAATTTCAGCTCTAATGGACGCTTACATTTTTCACCAAAGTTGGAAAAAAAATAAGCTAGGATTATGTGTGTATGTTTATGATTGTATGATATCTTTCAAAACAGTGACTTCAGCATCTTAAAGTTCTGATTACTATGTAGCTAGACTAAACTTTGTATATCTGTAATTGTATCTTACTTTAAAGTTAAGGACAAAACTAGTTGTATTTGTATTAAGATATTGTAATAGTTTTTATAGTGACTGTCTAGTTTTATATAGAATTATGGTTTTGTTGCATTTTAATTTTGCTACAGATTTTTCAGTAGGTTCTGGGATCTACTTCTGTTGTTGTTGTTGTTAAGTGCCGTCAAGTCGTTTCCGACTCATAGCGACCCCATGCACAGCAGAACGAAACACTGCCCGATCCCGCACCAGCCCCACAATCCCTGCTATACT